AATTTTCTAGTCTCACAAATTGTCATGTGTTTTCATCAATCTTCTAATTTTCCAACTGTCCATGTTTTCTCATCAATCTTCTAGTCTGCCAACTGTCCCTGTGTTCTCATCAATCTTTTAGTTGGTCAACTGTCCATGTGTTCTCATTAATCTTCTAACTGGTCAACTGTCCATGTGTTATCAATATTCTAACTGGTCAACTGTCTATGTGTTCTCATTAATCTTCTAGTGGGTCAACTGTCCATGTGTTCTCATCAATCTTCTAGTTTGCCAATTGTCCATGTGTTCTCATCAATCTTCTAGTCTCACAAATTTTCATGTGTTTTCATCAATCTTTTAATCTGCCAACTGTCCATGTGTTCTCATCAATCTTCTAATCCATCAACTGTCCATGTGTTCTCATCAATCTTCTAATCCGTCAACTGTCCATGTGTTCTCATCAATCTTCTAATCCATCAACTGTCCATGTGTTATCATCAATCTTCTAATTCGTCAACTGTCCATGTGTTCTCATCAATCTTCTAGTCTCACAAATTTTCATGTGTTTTCATCAATCTTTTAATCTGCCAACTGTCCATGTGTTCTCATCAATCTTCTAATCTGCCAACTGTCCATGTGTTCTCATCAATCTTCTAATCTGCCAACTGTCCATGTGTTTTCATCAATCTTCTAATCTGTCAACTGTCTAAGTGTTTTCATTAATCTTCTCGTTTGCCAACTGTCCATGTGTTCTCATGAGTCTTCTAATTTCCCAACTGTCCATGTGTTCCCATGAGTCTTCTAATTTGCCAACTGTACATGTGTTCTCATCAATCTTCTAGTCTGCCAACTGTCCATATGTTCTCATCGATCTTTTAGTCTCACAAATTTTCATGTTTTCATCAATCTTCTAATTTGCCAACTGTCCCTGTGTTCTCATCAATCTTCTCATCTGTCCATCTGTTTTTATCAGTCTTCTAATTGGCCAACTGTCCATGTGTTTTCATCAATCTTCTAGTGGGTCAACTGTCCATGTGTTTTCATCAATCTTCTAGTTGGTCAACTGTCCATGTGTTATCAATATTCTAACTGGTCAACTGTCTATGTGTTCTCATCAATCTTCTAATTGGCCAACTGTCCATGTGTTCTCATCAATCTTCTAGTGGGACAACTGTTCAAGTGTTCCCATTAATATTCTAACTGGTCAACTGTCCATGTGTTCTCATCAATCTTTTAGTAGGCCAACTGTCCATGCGTTTTTATCAATCTTCTAGTGGGTCAACTGTCCATGTGTTCTCATCAATCTTCTAATCCGTCAACTGTCCATGTGTTCTCATCAATCTTCTAATCCATCAACTGTCCATGTGTTATCATCAATCTTCTAATCCATCAACTGTCCATGTGTTCTCATCAATCTTCTAATCTGTCAACTGTCCATGTGTTATCATCAATCTTCTAATCCATCAACTGTCCATGTGTTATCAATCTTCTAATCCGTCAACTGTCCATGTGTTCTCATCAATCTTCTAATCCGTCAACTGTCCATGTGTTCTCATCAATCTTCTAATCCATCAACTGTCCATGTGTTATCATCAATCTTCTAATTCGTCAACTGTCCATGTGTTCTCATCAATCTTCTAATCCATCAACTGTCCATGTGTTATCATCAATCTTCTAATCCATCAACTGTCCATGTGTTCTCATCAATCTTCTAATCCATCAACTGTCCATGTGTTATCATCAATCTTCTAATCCATCAACTGTCCATGTGTTCTCATCAATCTTCAAATCCGTCAACTGTCCATGTGTTATCACCAATCTTCTAATCCATCAACTGTCCATGTGTTATCATCAATCTTCTAATCCGTCAACTGTCCATGTGTTCTCATCGATCTTCTAATCCATCAACTGTCCATGTTTTATTATCAATCTTCTAATCCGTCAACTGTCCATGTGTTCTGAATAATCTTCTAATTGGTCAACTGTCCAAGTGTTCCCATCAATATTCTAACTGGTCAACTGCCATGTGTTATCATCAATCTTTAAATAAGCCAACTGTCTGTGTGTTCTCCTCAATCTTCAAATAGGCCAACTGTCTATATGTCCTCAATCTTCAAATAGGATACCTGTCCATATGTTCTCAATCTTCAAATAAGCCAACTGTCTGTGTGTTTTCCTCAATCTTCAAATAGGCCAACTGTCTATATGTCCTCAATCTTCAAATAGGATACCTGTCCATATGTTCTCAATCTTCAAATAAGCCAACTGTCTGTGTGTTTTCCTCAATCTTCAAATAGGCCAACTGTCTATATGTCCTCAATCTTCAAATAGGCCGTCTATATGTCCTCAATCTTCAAATAGGCCAACTGTCTATATGTCCTCAATCTTCAAATAGGCCAACTGTCTATATGTCCTCAATCTTCAAATAGGCCAACTGTCTATATGCTGTCAATCTTCAAATGTGCCAATTGTTCATATGTTCCTAATCTTCAAATAGGATACCTGTCCATATGTTCTCAATCTTCAAATAGGCCAACTGTTTATATGTTCTCAATCTTCAAATAAGCCAACTGTCTGTGTGTTCTCCTCAATCTTCAAATAAGCTAACTGTCTGTGTGTTCTCCTCAATCTTCAAATAGGCCAGCTGACTATATGTTCTCAATCTCCAAATAAGCCAACTGTCTATATGCTCTCATCATTCTTCATATAAGCCAGCTGTCTGTGTGTTCTCTTCAATCTTCTAATAGGCCAACTATTAAAATGTTTTCTATCTTCTAATAGGCCAACTGTGTGTTATCAATCTTAAAATCGATCAACTGTCCATGTGTTCTCATCAATCTTCAAATAAGCCAACTGTCTGTGTGTTCTCCTCAATCTTCAAATAGGCCAACTGTCCATATGTTCTCAATCTTCTAATAGGCCAACTATTAAAATGTTTTCTATCTTCTAATAGGCCAACTGTGTGTTATCAATCTTAAAATCGATCAACTGTCCATGTGTTCTCATCAATCTTTTAATCCAACAACTGTCCATGTGTTTTCATTAATCTTATCTGTCAACTATCCATGTGTTCTCATAAATTTTCTAATTAGCCAACTGCCAAGTGTTTTCTTTATTCTAATCCGCCAACTGCCAAGTGTTTTCTTTTTTCTGATCAGCCAACTGGCAAGTGTTTTCTTTATTCTGATCACCCAAATGTCCACATGTTTTCACCAATCTTCTGATCCCAAAACTGGCCTGTTTTCACCATTCTTCTAATCTGCCAGTTATCCAGGTGTTTTTGTTATTTTAATCTGCTGAATAACCATGGATGAAAACACCTCTCACAAATGCACACTCTCAATTATTGTCCATTCTTATATCTAATCATGCATTGTAATTAGTCTTATAAAGTGAAAGATAAAAATAGGTTGCAATAACTAATAATGCAATAGTTAATATAATATACATAAAGATGTTAAACATAACATTGTTTAGTGTAACAAATTGTAACATTTTGTCAAAATAGAAAGTTTCATTTTAAAAACTAGATGATTTACCTTGTCCTCTCCATAAAACATCGCCTCCATTAGGACGACCTCTGTGAATGAAGAACAACAGAATATAACAAACAACAATTACCACTCCCTACTTTTGTTAAGTAATCTCCTTCCAGCTAACGAGAATGTTCTGATGCCAACTGCATCAGTCAGACATGCAGAAGCAATTTAAATAACACACAGTAATGAGAAATGACCATGCTAATGAAGGAATAACGGCTACAAGAACAAACATAGCACATTCGCCCTGTTTAAAAAAAATTAAAACATAACTTTAATTCTCTAACACCCTAACCTAAAAAACTAGAAGATAATAAAAACAGAAGAAATTTTGAGTCTTGGTCAGTTTTATAAAAATCCAGGAGGTTGAAAGCTCAGATCACCGAGAACACAGGCAAGCATCCTGGCCAACATAAAATCATATTGAAGCCACGTGGAAAAGTTATTTTTGACAGTTTTTTTGCCATTATTTATACCAAAAATAATGTTTTTTTATTTAAATAAAAATAATTTATTCCCGAAAAGTCTACACACCCCATGCAGTTGCAACCAGTACCAACGTTGTCATACAAGAGGTGGACTCTGCCCAAGGATGTCATGTGATTAAAAATGTGTACAAGTCTAAAACCAACTCTCTTGGGCTGACAGGATAAAAATAATGAAGATCAACTTATGCAAGACAGCACACAAAAGATCCTAACATCTTCCTTAACACTTTGATGAGGGAACCAGAGGAAAACAAGAAGAAGTTACTGCCTTGATTAAGTCTCAAATCAGTCTACTAATAAATGAAAGCTCCTACATTTAAATACTTCAAAAAGGGGGCAACTGTCTTTATTTTTACTACATGCAGTCACATATTCCAGCTGTTTTGGTAATGCACTAAAACAACTGCTGGGTTGTCAAAGACTACATTACATAGATCGGTGCGTTTCTAAAATTACATTTATAGAACAGATTGGCTGAATTGTCTAAAACTACACTCACAGAACTCTTCCATAAAGAAATAGCAGGAAGACCTAAAATGTGAACACATGATACTCAAAAATGGATCACAAAAACCCTAGCAAATACTGAATTTTTGGCAGGAGACAAAGAGAGGTGAAAACAATTGCTACCGGATGTGGGCAGAGGTTGTCCAACAGTGCCTAATGATATCAAATTACAGAAATCAAGATAGACAGTGTGAACACAACAAATCTTCTTTATAAACTGCTGACTATTATTGCAAGATTATTGTGCAGAACTAGTGTTTGCTCACTTGTTTAACCATTTTGGATATGCTGCATGAGGCAGTGACAACAAATATTATGTCAGCTAACACATTCCCCTTGACATGTTGTCTAGCTGATATTTTTCATTTCTAATCATTTAATTTCCCCCACCAGCTTAGCCTGCTTATTTCAACATGTCATAAATTATCCATTTCTTAAGGTGGTTCAACTGCAGACCTGTCACCGGCAGAGGGTCTTGATGACGTGCGAGGCACAGAGATAAAAACAGGCAGCATCACCAGTGTGGACACTCTTCACTGATCTCTGAAGAAGACACTCTGCACTCAGAAGAAAAGCAAGGTGGACATATAATCAAACTGCTAATGGCATTACTAAAAGTGGAACTCTTTACTGCCAGCTGAAGATGAGGTACTTGTAGGAAAGTCTTGTGTGCTGAGGTGTTAGTTCTTAGCTCAACGCTGAAAAAATGGGTTTGGAGCAATTGTGTGAATGTCCACAGTTCTGTCATGTCAGTTTTTGAACTCAATCATTGATATCAACCATGACAAATGAAATCCAGTCTATAAGAACAAACACAATAAATATATTTGTACTCACCGACCCCTGAACCCACCTCTCCCCCTGACATTAACCAATGGAGGAGGCTTCCAGTCCTCACTACCAATTTCTCCGCCTCCTCTACCTCCTCTTCCACGGAAATTAAATCCAGGCCCTCTTCCTCTGCCTCGCATGCCACCTTTAGACACATTTTTAATGGCACATTTACAAATTGCTTCTTAAATATCTAAAATAAATAAATAAAAAGCAGATGGAAAAGAATTGAAAGATTAAGATCACAACATGTAAAAGACTGATCAGACTAATCATCCTATAGGGCCCTGAAACCTGGATTACAAGAGACAAAGCCTTGTTAAAAACAGTCTTATGGCATATTTTTGGACCCATGCAAACAGCAAAGAATGTATGTAAGAAGCAATAATGAAAGTGATAATCTGATTCACCAATAACAACTGGCATCATGACGGCTAACAGACTGTGATGTTTGGGAACATAGAAGGGATACCAAAAAACAATGACAACAACAACAACTGGGTATGCAAAACAGATGGGGAAAAGACTACTAGCAGACCAATAAGATCGTGGAGAGACAATATACAAACACTAAAAACACTCAATAGTCACCACATGGAAAGAGAAGGACAATGAGAGATGTATGGAAGCAGGTGATATTTGTAGCATTTAAACTCTTCTTCTTCCCATTCAACAGCTGTAAACACCAGCGGAAAGTTCTGGGTGTTTGTCCACCTCCAGATTTTAGTCTTGTTCCATAACCTCAGTGTTGAGAGCACATTCGTTTAACAGTTCTGGTTTATCCGTATGCAGACTCTTAGTTCATTGCCTCTCAGGTAGAGGTACTCTGACTTTGAAGTATACCTCTAATTAGTCGACTTATAAAACATACCTGTGTGTGTGTGGAGAGGGGAGGGGGGTCTATTCTTGTTTTCCCCACAGTGGGGCCCTGGAACCCACACAGGGACAATGAACCTCAACAGGTGAAGTAAAAGTTAATTTTTGTGTCTGTACAATAAGTGTCAGTCCTTTTCTTGTCTTTCAGGAACCACTGGAGCACATCCTCACAAACATATAAAAAGTCAATCCTTCATAAACTATTCACCATTGGTTGCATTTTGCAGTTAAAGCTGTCTCCAGATTCACCGTTTAGCTAAATCACCTTCTACACAAGGCAGATTATGGTGTAGCAATTTTCGTCTTCCCCTAAGGGCCCCAGTAACACACAAGTGGTCAGTGGTGCTTACCTCTGTAATTCTCATTGGCATCCATTTTCCTGACTTGCTGCTTGTGGCGGAAACCATTGAGATGGGCTGTTAGATGCTCTTGGGCTGTGACTGTTACACAGCAAATCTTGCACTCAAAGGCTTCAGGGCTGAGAATGAACAAGTGACATGAATAATATTTATAAGTTGGACAGCAGATTCTATAAAACTGCTGAAAATTAGATCAACCAGTTTTGTTAAATACAACCAAATTTACCAATCATTTTCAAGTTTTATTCTAGTTTTTCAAGGTTTTCTTTCTCAAATAAAAGTTGAGACTGTAATAATAATATTGCAATGTTTAAAAAAAAGTTGAAAGTGCTGAAAATTAAGAAGTTGCTAAACATACAATATTTAAACTAGTCTGACAGCTGATTCTATAAAAATATTTGATAATTTGACTAGAAACTAGAAATCATTTTCAAGAGTTTTTCAGGACATTGTTTGTCTTATAAAGGCTGGCTCTGGGATATTTTAATAATAAAACCATTTCAATATTTAAAAAAAAAAAAAAAAAAGACCCCTTTCACCTGTTTAGGTGTACCAGGCATAATTACCCCAAGAGTTATAGAGACTAATCAACTGATCACCTTCTCTTCTCAGACATTTTCCTGGTGCCCATTTAAGGCTGAGTTATTCAAGTAGCCCATGTCAACATTTACAAAATCTGCCTCAAACCATGCCAGCTAAGTAAGCCGAGAGCAAGCATACTAGCTAATGTACAGCTTCCACTACAATTCTCAGCTAAACAATTAGGAAAAGCATTTCATGGAGGGAGGAAAAACCACTGAGAAAATACTATACAGAACAGCCAGGAAACAAATAAGTGACGTTAATGAATACTACACTGTTTGTGTCATGCTTGCCAAAGACATGTATGTTATCTTAAACTCTTTCTGGATACATGTCGATTAGTCAGTGACAGAATCAGTCATGTTTAGGCATATGGCCAATTCTGTAGTTGCCAACAAAGACACTCTAATACTGTTTCGTTTTGCTAGGGAAATGAATTTGTATGAAATTGTTTTGAAAAACTAGAAGCGAATCAAGGTATTTGTCAGAACATCACTGTCTGATAAATAAAAGTCTGAATCATCACTGGAATTTTTCTTATTAAGTAGGTGTCTTTTATAGGAATTGCAGAACCAACCCCAACATTTGTGGCTGTTGCCATTTCAAACAGCAAATTTACGTTTACTAGTTTGCCATGGCTTTCTAAATGGTCAGCTCTCAATCATCATAATAAACCACTTCTGACATTAAGCGTCGTGGGGAGGAATAATTTGCGATCCAGTGGACGTTGGCTGCCAGTGGCTATTGTCATGCCGTGTAGGCGTAGCGTGTCTTTAATGTTGTCAATTCATGTTTTCCGCAGCCGTCCTCTTGCTCTTGTAGCTGATCTTCTGAGATGTAGTGCTTGTGATGGTATTTGATCTTGCTGCATCCTATTGAGTGGCCAAACTACCTGATCTGTTGTTTCTCAATGAATTTAGTACAAGGTGTCATTCCCACAATTTGCCTGATAGTTTCATTTTTAACGCAATCTCGGAAGTTAGGTTGGCTGCTTTTCTCAGGCACCTCATCTCGCAGGTGGTGATTTTGCGTACATGGGCTTTAGATAGTGTCCATGGTTGGCACTGGTAGCTTAATGTTGGAATGAATATGCTGTTAATAATCTGTCTGTTTGCACTCATAGTTATGCTTGGATGTATTAATAATGGTGACAATTGGAATATTAGTGCACCTGCTTTCTGACATCTGGTTTCTATTTCTCTGTCAATTCTACCATCTTCTGTGATCATACTTCCGAGATATTTAAACTCCATAACTTGATTCAGGGCAGAACCATTCAGCTGTATGTGTAGTGGGGCAGGGGTTCTACTAACTTGTATTGTTTCGGTTTTGTTTACATTGATCTTCATGTTGTATTTACTGCATGCTGAGTTTAACCTGGTAATGTGGTCTTGCAGTCTACCTTCTTCAGGGTAGAACAAGCATTGGTCGTCAGCAAATAGTAGTTCGTTTAATGTGGGTGAATCGATAACTTCTTCTGGTGTGTGTACTTCCTCATGATTATAAAGGTCTATGTTGTCTGTATCAGAACTTGCTTCTTTAGATATTCTGTCTATGGTTAGTTGCGTATCCTTTACAGGACGTTGCATAACCAACCCCAACAGCCCCTGGCTATTGTGTGGTTTTTCTAGGCAAATTTACATCCAGTAGTTTGCCATTGTCTATACAGATGTTAAATAAAAGTGGGGAGAGCACACATCCCTGTCTCACACCTGTGTTGACTGTGAACATATCTGATATGTCTTCTTGTGTTTGCTCCATACCACTGTTAAAACCATGCGGCCTGCTGCCAAATCGTCTGCAGCTGGGATCAAACCCGGAATTACGAAGGGTGCTTGCAACACCTAAGCCAAATACATCATTGGAATTACCTTTATACATTATATAAATATGTTTTTTATTCTGCTGTTCTGAATTTTCATGTCACTAAGAACTGGTCGTAACATCCAAAGTATTTAGATTAACTGTCTTTGAAAAAAAAAAAAAACACTAGCTGATGCGCATAAGTGAATAGAGAAGGAAGGCATGTAAATTCTTAGAAAATGGATAGCAGTGTTGCTGATCAAGTAAACAAGATAAGTACAAAACTTCACATGTCAAAATTCTTAATGTGTGAGTCACCATATGCTATTTCTGATGCTAAGTCAGTTAATTCACTGCTGCATTCATGTTTTTAGATAACTCATATTATTCTGTATGGAAATTAACATTGTTCTGGTCCAAAATGGAACTGTTAGAAATTTTAGTGAGATGTATACAGCTGTTTTTTTTTTTAAGGATTATCTTCTGTAATTTCCTCCAAAAATGGGTCACTGGCATTGTTGATTTTCTCGGTCACCAGGGCACACACAAACAAAATTTTAAAAAATACTGTCTAAGTAATGAAACTAACCTATTTCCTGTCGCACCAGTTTTCAGTCTTTTTGCATGGTTCTTCCCTTTATAGTGCATATCAGCCTGGCTTGCCTGAGAGAAGGACACCTTGCAGACTTTACAGTACTGTTTCTCATCAATGACCTGTAAGTAATTACACAATAAAACAAAACAAAAGCATTTAAAAACCTTGTTAAATGTACCGGTGATACAAATTGTTGAAACAACGGATGAGAGCAGTTAAGCAGATGCTAAGAAATGAAGTAACACAACACAAGCTCAGACCAGAAAGCTCAAATAGGAAACAGAAAAGACATGCACAGCTCAATTATTGTGCTCACAACAGACGTTCAGTAAATAAGAAGACGTAAGGACAGAAGCAGCTGAACGATGAGTTTATGCACATTCCTTCCAATATTTGCCACGGTATTACAATGACTTTCTAATGGTCCCAATGATATTTCAGATATGAAGAAGCTGACCCTAGTGAAAGACAAAGAGAGCCATTTGACAATCAGAATAGAGCAAGATGTTACAGAATCATGTCTTTTCAAAATTCCTATTCAGCCAAGCCAACAGTGTGAACTAATGAAGAAAACCAATGCACACAACAACAATAACAACAAAAAAGCACAAGACACAGACGAGCATCTTCACATTTCTATCAAGGAGAACAAAAGATTAATATCTGTGTGACTGAGCTGAAAATATGTCAGTTTAAATGAGTCACAAGTGTTGATTATCATCAAGTCAACGCCATAATACTACTTAAACACAAGAAAACAAAATGTTCCCACAGTAAGTGATCAAATTATAAAGACCAGCTGAATCTAAACCTCTTCAGTAAGTTTTGATAGCCTGAACTCAAGAAATCTCTGAAGACTGAGGTTACACTGCATGCTTATCCCACATCATTCTACCCATTCTAGACACAAGGAGAACACAAGTGACTCAAATGTCTCAGAATATGAATTCAATAATAACTCAGCCACTATCAAATTATGAAGAGTGAAAAACAAATTCTAAATATAACACATTCAGTCACAAATATGGAACTATTCGGTTAACAAAACATAAATCCATAGATCTCTAGATCAAATATGCCTCTCTCAACCCTCACACTGAGCACAATAGCAACTGAACTCTTAATAAGCAGCCAAGAAAACAAACTTCAAGGTAAAGAATTCAAAATAAGCAATGTAAAATCCAAACTGCTATAAATAAAAATGTGCTGAAAATTATAAATACAGCTGTTGCTGACAGTTGTCAATAAAATTCTGCCACTTTTTTTTATCTCACAATTAATGAGCAAGTGACCATCTATGTACCAGAAACAAGTTTATGAAAACTGAGTCCCTTTGATATCAAGAACATCAAAAGTTACAGTTTTTTTTTAGCAAAGTTCTAAACTTCAGAATAAAATTACTTCAGATTTTAATATGGCATCATGCAATTGCAGAAAAAAAAAAAAAGGTTTCTCACGGACATATCTGCAATAACAGATTATAATGGTTACAGAAGCTAATGGGTGAAGATCTCCATTTTCTAACACAGAAATACAATACATGCTCTTGGAAATCAATGTCAAAATTAAATAGTATTACACTTCACCAATCAAACACAGCGTTATGACAGCATAACTGGACGTTTGCAGCTTCAGCAAATGTTTAGTGAGGACCAACATCACAGCACGTGAGACAGATACAAAGCTACTCTGATCTCCACAACAGCTCCCACTGGTGTTAAACAAGTAACCATGCCTACCGTGTTACACTAATGCTAATGTGATACAAATAGATTTATGGCAGCAGTTCCCCACATATCCATAATAACAGTTGCATAAAAAGAATACTAATTTAAGATAAAAGTCTGGTGCCATATAAAGAAATCAGTTATTTGCTTCAATGAGACCAGCACAGAACTATGTGTATCTGGTGCTGAAACTTCCAGGTGGATCATGCAGGCATACAGCTGAATATTTGCTTGGTGGAGAAACTGGGTAATTTAGTTACCAAAACAAAAAAACTAGATGTTTTAAATATAAACATTCTCTGATGACAAGTGTGTTTAATCAACTCCGCATAAAAATCCTATCATACAGAATTAATTACTGATTTATCCAAGTCTTGCCAAAAATAAAACTTGTCCATGAGAAACCTGACCTTTCTGTTTTATGAATGACATAAATCAGCTGCAAAGTCTGACAGCAATTCGTGCTTGCACAACAAGTTTCAATACCAAAGTGACATGGTAACAATTTTGATGCTAACAATATGGGCTTTATGCACTAGAGGAGCAGTGCATTTGTCACTAAGTATTTTCCCCACACAGTTGAGTTACCAATACCATACAGATGATTTCCTGTTTCATTTCTTCAGTGTTTTTGTCTCCTATAAGTAAAGTGATTTTTTTGGTGGTATGCAATGTTACACAGTACCAGTACCTTATTAGGGCACAGTTTTTTTAAGATACTGTAGTGAGTACCGGTACCTTTTCCCTTTCCTAGAACAAAAACAGTCCTGCATAGTTTATCTTTCTCTGAGGTAACTGTATTTGAAACCTGATCCTGATGTAGTCTGACAATACAATTCAACCAATATGTTTAGCAAGGCATGAACGGCTTAGGCACTTAGCCACAAACACTCCTGTTTATCTGTAAATGATTTTATAAAGTCCAAATTTAAATGTCAGATTGTGGAGAGCTGAGCTTTAGAAGCCAGAACATTGCACTGCTGCTCATTCTGCATTTCAGAAACTCAGTGAAAATAATTAATTCATGAAGTGCTGTCAGATATCACAGTCATATTGCCATAATAACTATCTGTGCCAGCAAGTTGTTACTAAAAATAATTCACAAAATGGACTGAAGATGTTATATAGCCACCAGGATAGTGTGCAACAACCATCTAGTACTAGTAGAATTCCAACTCCCTAGATGTTATATAGCCACCAGGATAGTGTGCAACAACCATCTAGTACTAGTAGAATTCCAACTCACTAGATGTTATATAGCCAACAGGATAGTGTGCAACAACCGTCTAGTACTAGTAGAATTTCAACTCACTAGAAAAGGTTGCAGTAACAACTGTCAGTGAGAGCAAGCGTTAAGGATGATGATATTCAGTACTAAATGAAGGTATGGGAAGTTGCCTGTCTTTGACCGAAATAAAATTAATCAACAAGATGATCCATAGATTATATAAATTATAATAAAATACACTGCAGTTTTCTAGTCTATACAATAATGTATAGACTAGGACAAAATATACTACAGTTCTTTAGTTTATAAAAGTTAATGTGCATAGAATGGTACTGCAGTTTCTTAGTCTATACATTATTTATTTTGTATAGAAAATACAGCAGTTTTCTAGTTGATAAAATAATTATTAAGTATAGAATGTACTACAGTTTTCTAGTCTATGCAATAATTATTGTGCTTATAAAATAGTGCAGTATTCTAGTATACACAAAAAGTATTGTGCATAGAATATACTGCAGTATTCTAGTCTATACAATAATTATAACGTACAGAATATACTGCAGTATTCTAGTCTACACAATAATTATTTTGTATAGAATATACTGCTGTTTCCAAGTCTATACAGTAATTATTGTGTATAGAATAAATTGCAGTTCTCTAGTCTATACAAAAATTACTCAGTTTAATATATACTGCAGTTTTCTATACAATAATTATGGTGTATAGAACATACTGCCTTTTTCTAATCTATACAATAATTAATGTGTACTGAACATAGTGCAGTTCCCTGGCCTGCACAATAATTATTGAGTACAGAATATACTGTAGTTTTCTAGTCTATACAAAAATTATTGTGTATAGAATATACTGCAGTTTTCTAGCTTACATAATAATTATTGAGCATCTAGTCTACACAATAATTATTTTGTATAGAATATACTGCTGTTTTCTAGTTTATAAAATAATTATTAAGTATAGAATGCACTACAGTTTTCTAGTATATGCAATAATTATTGTGCTTATAAAATACTGCAGTATTCTAGTCTACACAAAAATTATTGTGTGTAGAATATACTGCAGTATTCTAGTCTATTTAATAATTATAAAGTATAGAATATACTGCAGTATTCTAGTCTACACAATAATTATTTTGTATAGAATATACTGCTGTTTCCTAGTCTATACAATAATTATTGTGTATAGAATATATTGCAGTTCTGTAGTCTATACAAAAATTATTCAGTTTAATATATACTGCAGTTTTCTAGTCTACACAATAATTATGGTATATAGAACATACTGCCTTTTTCTAATCTATACAATAATTAATGTGTACTGAACATACTGCAGTTCCCTGGCCTGCACAATAAATATTGAGTATAGAATATACAGGAGTCGCTGTGGCCGAGCGGCTAGACACTCGCCGCGGATCAGAAGCTCGTGGGTTCACTCCCTAGTGGAGCCAAACTTTTTTCAAAAATGACCTTGGCTCTCAGGTCGACCCAGCCTTGAGTGGGTACCGGGTGCAGTCCCGGGAAAGTGAAGGCAGCCGGCGTGATACTGACCACATCACCCATCTTGTGCCGATTGGTCTATAAAAATATAGGTCTAGCCCTATATGCCCTATACGCCTAAGGAAAGGGGTCCTTTACTTTACTTTTTACTATAGAATATAGTAGTTTTCTAGTCTATACAATCATTATTGTGTATAGAACATACTGCAGTTTTTTAGTCTATACAATCATTATTGTGTATAGAACATACTGCAGTTTTTTAGTCTATACAATCATTATTGTGTATAGAACATACTGCAGTTTTTTAGTCTATACAATCATTATTGTGTATAGAACATACTGCAGTTTCCTAGTTTATACAATAATTACTGAGGATAAAATATACTGCAGTTTTCTAGTCTATACAATCATTATTGTGCATAGAATATACTGCAGTTTTTTAGTCTATACAATCATTATTGTGTATAGAATATAGTGCAGTTTTCTAGCTTACATAATAATTACTGAGGATAGAATATACTGCAGTCAGGGTTCATAGCCAAATTTACCAATCAATTTCAAGGCTTTTCAAGGTCTTTTTCAAGGTCTCCTTAGTTTTTTTCAAGGTTGTCTCGGTGTAATACTAATACAAGATTTTTGCCTTGTTCAAG